ACTTGCGACAACCTGCTGGCTTCCCCATTGACTTGGCTTGTCAGAAGCTGGCTTTGAAGTCTGCAGATGGCAATTGTGTGATTGTGTTGCCAAAAGTTAAGTACTGTTAAGTCAGGGGTGTCAAACTCAAGGCCCGCGGGCCTGGAAATATCAAAGGACTGGCCCACAGCAACTCTGGCAGCCAAAACAGGACATGTGTGAGCCCCCTTGTGCCTTGTTTTCACCCTCCAGGGCCTCCAACAGCACTCTACCAGCCAAAAATGGGCTGAAAAACATGCTGGAAACGGGCTGGAAAATGAACCAGAAATGGGCCACGTGGCCCATTTTTGGCTGGCAGAGTGTTGCGGGAGGCCATGGAGGGCAAAAACAAGGTGCAGGTGGGCCGCACGCAGACTGCCCATGCCCCGTTTTGGCCGACAGGATGCTGCAGGAAGCATCCATCCCGCCCCACTCCACAGGAGAACTACAATGCTGATCCAGTCCTCGAAGAAATCCAGTTTGACACCCCTGTGTTAAGTAGTTAAGTGATGGAGTCTCTGGTCCCAATTTTGCTTGTTATGAGAGGACCGCCTATACTTGTAGGGAGGAATGTGTGAATAGCCCCTAAGAACATGCATATTCAGGCTGCTGCATTGCCTATTGACTAGGGTGTGAAATAGTAGAAACGTACTATTTTCGCATGGAGTGATGTTACACCTCTGCCAATTAGCTGGTCTTGGTCTCCAGGCGCATAAGTGATCTTGCACAGGCTGGTTCGTATGAACACGTACACATTCTACTCTTCTAGATTGGAAGCCGTAATTCCCACAGGTAGCAGTGCACAACGTCCACAGACTGACTCTCCAGTGTACGCCACAGGCATCTGTCCAGCAATTCTGAGTGTTTAAAGGCCTTTGATGGAAAAAAAAAATACATAAAATGGGGGAAAAATCATTAATATTTGCACATATCCTTCAGGTCAGAGGTGTCGATTTCATTGAGGGCCACATCAGGGTTGTGTTTGACATCAGGGGCTGGCGTGGGCGTGACCAGCTTCAACGTCACTTGTGTTGCGATGGCCTCCTGCAGCCCTCTGCCAGTGAAAAGGGAGCTCAGGGGAGAGGCCGTTGAAGGAGGCCGTTGTGGTCGAAAATGGAGCTCCCTTTTCGCTGGCAGCTCAGGGGAGAGGCCATTGCAGGAAGCTGTTGTGGCCAAAAATGGAGCTCGGGGGGGGCTGCACATGGCCCTCCCGAGCGCCTTTTCTGCTGGCAGAGGAACCATGGCCTGGTCCTTTGCTGTTTCCAGGGTGGCGCCATGGGCCAGATGTAAGCACCCCACAGGCTGGGGCCAGCCTGTGGGCCTTGAGTTTGACACTCCTGCTTTAGGGAAACAGATTCAAGGAGTTGTTTCAGAGGTGTTTGGAACTTGAAAATAATCACGAACAAAAATGGCTTACAAAAGAACATAGAGACAGGCCTATGAAGTTGTGTAACATGTTATGATGTTGCTACTCATGAGACCAAGCCTCAGAATTAAAATGGCTTTCTCCTCTGGAGCTTCAGCCCTATGCCTGCTCTCCGTACACAGGTAAGTGCAAATAGACTCAAACATTGGGAAGAAGATAGAAAAGGCCCATGGTTATGATGCAGAAGAAAAAAAACTATAGCAAAGAAGAAGCATGAAATTCCCACTAAGTCATTCAACCAAGGAGGGCACTGGAGACTTTTTATGTGAGACAAAAGCATTCGTTGATATCAGCAGTTATAATGTATTATTGTGTGAGAACCAGAACACAGAGCTTCTGGTATTTTCAAGGTGTCAGCGGGACCTACCTTGGGAGGGAACTGCACTGGTCCGAAGGCACGGAGACTCCATCCCTGGTCTGGCAAAAAACCTGCCTGTGCTGGAGTGCCAGATGAGAGCCAACACAAGGCCCATTACACTGTTAACAAAAAAAAACCAACCCCAAAACACAAGACACTGGTTAGAATAGATGTGAAACTGTTTACTTGCTGCCTGAAGTGGTAAGAGAGACTTTCAAATTTGTGATCAACCACAAGAGTTGGCTGGTGGACTAAGCTACAATTCTAATATTTTGAATAGACACAAATAGGAAACTTTCAGAAAAGTTGAATCTCCCCAAGAAAAGCTAGCAGTGCTGTGTAGCTTTCTCACTGATTCAGCCAGTTAACCCCTTTTATAATTATTTGGTATTTAAAAAAATAATGTCATCAATTTCACCGTATGAATAAACAAAATGTTATTCTATCACTGATTCTCGTTTTCTCATTCCCCTTTTTCAGGGGTGGGATTCTACTAGCTCGCACCTATTCGCTAGAACCGGTTGTTAACATTCTAAGCAGTTCGGAGAACCGGTTGTTAGAAGAAATTACTGGCCTAATCCTGTAAGGAAGGCAGGAAGGAAACATTCTGGTGTTGCTTACAGAAACTGCCTCTCCATTAACCCTTATTACATTCTTGGCAGGACTAGACTTCCTGTCTCAGGAACGTCTCTGGAGTTTTTTTCCCCTCCTTTGCTGGTACTTTGCTTGTGTGGAGTGACCATTCAAAGTTGCAATGGCACTGAAAAAAGTGACTTATGACCATTTTTCACACTTCCGACTGTTGCAGCATCCCCACAGTCATGAGAGGCCAGGCGAGGAGATGCATGCCTCGATGTGAGGGATATTGAGTTGGCCACACCCAGCCAATAACATGACCACAAGCCACGCCCACCACCTAAGCCACACCCACAGAACTGGTTGTTAAAATTTTTGAATCCCACCCCTGCCCTTTTTGACTTGCAGTGTAAATTTTATTCTGGAAAGGGTCGCTGTGTTTTGTCTGCTGTTGTAAATATTTTATAACAAATATTTACAACAAATATTTATCACGCTTGATAGGCAACCAGCATTACAGAATTAGGAAAGGCATGTTATGAATAATTGCAAAGGAAGCGCTAGAAATTTAACCAGTGTGGCTCATAAATGTACACAAACTTTTTTTTACACGATAGTGGAAACAAACATTTGTTTATGATTTACATTTTATCCCGCTTCCCCTCTTTACACTGTAACACTTTATGAGTGTTTAGAGCATCCATTAATCCTTAAAAGTCCCACCAAAAGTCCCAGATGAATGTTTCTGGAGAGTTACAAGGAATGGATCAATAAACTATGCTTAGCAAAAATTTATCTAGAGATATCTAAGGAATACCGCCTTCAACAGGAAAGGATAGAGTAAGTTTAGTGTTGAATATAGATCTGCCTCAAAACCTCGCCAAACAAAACCCAAACCACTGGGTAGAATATGATTGGGTTGTAATTTCCAATTATCGTGTTCTTCTCCAAGAACTCCATCCTTCCTGGTTAGAGCCTGTCTTTAAGTTGTCGAATTTGATTATTGGAATTTCCTCTGGGTGTCTAAAAAGATTAATTATTGGGTATGCAAGGTAATGGTGGTATTTGAGTACTAGTCAAAACAATGTGACCAGCATTTGGGCTGTAGCATAGAGTGGTGAGATCTGCAGGTAAAGACAGGGCTTATTTCAAGCCTTATTCTGCTGGGAGGATAGGTAAGAAAGAGCACTATATATATTTTTTTAAACATCTGATTTTTTAAAAAGCTTAAATACATTTGGAGACTCCGATATCAGAATGGAATCAACATTACACTATTTGCAGTCTCATGGAATGGTGACCTGTGAGGCTGGAAGATCTGGAAAAAAAAATCTCATGATCCTGGCTTATCCAGGGATCATAGGATTGTAACATTGATATCACAACATTGGTATCAAAGCACAAACATTGCTCATCGTGTCATTTTCCCTAATGAAAACTGATTGAGCTACTACTCTCAAAAAGCTACTCAGGAAGCTCAGACAGTCCAAGGAGCCACTGATACAGTTCTACAAAGGAATTATTGATTCTTTTCATTGGTACCTATATAACTGTCTGGTTTGGCATGGCAACCAAATAAGACAGACACAGACTTCAACAGATAGTTAGGAGTGCAGAAAAAAATAATTGCAACCAGCCTGCCTTCCATTAAAGACCTGTATACTGCATGAGGCAGAAAGAGGGCTTTGAAAATATCTAGACTCCTCATAACCTGGACATAAACTGTTTCAATTTCGACCCTCAAGATGATGATATACAGCATTGCACGTCAGAATAACTAGACACAAGGACAGTTCCCCACCCCCCATGCCATCACTCTGCTAAAAAACTGATTCCCACAACATTGCCATACTAAGGCTGTAGTACTATTCTTCTTCTAATCTTTCCTATTACCTATCTCCTTATCTTCTTATGACGTTGTTGCTTGTATCTTGCGATGTATATTGTTTGATTGACGGTAGTATCCTAGTATGATTTATGTTGACTGCTTATTTAGTGTCCTATGACTAAGTGTTGTATCTTATGATATATGATGAATGTATTTTTATGACTATGATCATGATTTATTACTTGTTGCTTATATGTTCATTGAGTGCGTATGCACCTGAGACAAATTCCTTGTGTATCCAATCACACTTGGCCAATAAAGAATTCTATTCTATTCTATTCTATTCTATTCTATTCTATTCTATTCTAT